CATTCAAGGAGTCGCAGTATGCCACCAGCTCACTCTCCGCCGTTGAATGCGTCACAAACGGTTGGATTGATGTCTGCCAGCTGATGATGCATCCACCAAAATAGATGGCCATGCTCTGAACACTGCGTCCTCTGGAGCCTGTGCCATAGGCAATGTCTGAGAAGACCTCGAGGAGCTTGATGTTTCGGGCAATCTTCAACTGTTGTCTTTCACCCCAAATTTCTTTAGGGACTCCTCTGGGATATCGAAGACCTCCAGGATTCCCGTGGATGTAGGCCATCAAAATCATCCCAATCTCAATCGATTTGGCTGGGTTTTTTGTAGCAAGTCTGCATACAGCCGACACCCCGACAGAAATGTCAGGTCTGGTGCGAGTGTTCAACCAAAGTAACGCACCAGCTATCGCCTGGGCCGTTTTGATCTGGCTTTGGTCAATTGGATCAGCAGGATCTTCATCACTCTCGCTCAGCTTGAAGTTGGGATACTCGATGGATTTGGTCACATTCCACCGTTGAAGCATCTCCTGCTCATACTTTCTCTGTGTGAGAATGAAGCCATCTTGATCCAAAGCCGCCTCGATCTCAAAGCCACAGTACTTGACAGGTCGTTGAACCTCAGCCTTCTCAACTTCCGAAATGGCCCAAACATCAGCAATGGCCTGAATCGCCGCTTTAGCAGCACCATCCTCTGCAGTGATCAGCAGGTCATCCACATACACGGACATCAGTCCAGCCCAAAACTTCTCCCCCGTTTTCCTGTTCACCTCCTCCAAGCGCCAAACGTTGTCGTCAGGGGTTCGAATGAAACTTCCGTCAACTTCTTGTCCCTGTCGGTTCCTCCGCCACGACATCGTTGGAAGGGTTTCGTCTCGATAGAGACACCAGTCCCTAGGGGAGCTGGTTAGCCCATAAACAGCCTTTTGGATGATCCACACATCATCAGGACCAGCAAGTCCAAGCTTTCGGAAGACAGTGGGCACCTCCATAGCCGTGATCCTCGTGTCGTCACGTTTTGGAGCGTTCAGGAATGCAACCCTTATATCTGTTCCACATACTGACCAACCTTTCATTCCAGCCAGTCGTACTTGAGCTCGAATTTGGTTGCCATCCACACCACTGGCATACCGTTCATCGCTGCCAGCTTCTTGGTAGTTGCCACATACCACCGCTCTGGACCTGTAAGCTCCTGACCGTGCTTTTCTGGTGTGAACCATCTTTCCAGGCAGAAGTTCGATGGGCAACCCGGCCTCACTGGCCAGTCGACGGAGCTCACTTTTGGTCACTTGACGAACTGCCTGCTTGTTGTTGACAAGCTGCTCAAACTCCGCCTTGATTGAAGGTTCCCAATCATCCAGATGAGACCAAACCTCAGAGTTGCTGATGGTCTTCGTCACCAGAAATTCCTTCTCCAAGCTTTGACACACCTGTTGGGCCTCCACCTCATGAGCTTCTTGTAGCTGATGCTCAATCATCGCCTTCATCTTGATGGCGTCTGTGAGGGCACCAATCCACAAGGCTTGTTCATCCGTTGTCGCATCCAGCTTGGTGTACTCGTCCTCGATGTAGGCCCCAATGTTGCCATGTAGACATCGAAGTGCTGTCATAGCATCCATACCTGAGGCCACCGGGTGTGCGCCACCAGCCCGGTCGTTAGGCGCCTCCTCCTTCTCCCCACCTCCATGCTCAACCACATCGGACTGCATCGATGGTGTCCGATCTTCAGAGCTAGCCGAGGTCTTTTCTGAGTCCGTTTTCAACGACCAGCTTTCTTCATCGCTACCAGTTACACTTTCCAACTCAAAATGTGGGTGCAACCATTCAGGAACATTATAAAAAGAACCTGATCCAACCTTTGAGAACTTGGATGTACCAACCATTTCAACCATTTTTGTGGGGTTTGTTGTTTGACCCTGACCCTGGTCCTCCCCCTCGATGGCTATCATCGAAATTGCTGGCACCGTAGTTTTGCCCCGCAGACGGCGAGAAGGAACTCCAGACCACGTAGGAGGCGTTGCTCTGTCTCCACGTTGTTCAAGGTAAATTGCAGGTGGTGCTTCTGGAAGTTCCTGAAGTGCATCAGCGGGTGGTTGAACCACATCATCGGTATAGAAGAACTTGCCAGTTGAGAGGGACTTCACATAGTAGCTTGTCGTGGTCAGTGATGAGAACTTGTCAGGCCCCATAACCACGACCTCCTCCCTGGCGTCTCTCCAATCTGTGTAGCGCTCCTGTCATGATTTGCGAAGTGCAAAGGCTTTGCTACCAAACCGCAACATTGGAGAAGCTGGCCAACCAAGTGCTTTCAGCTGGTTGCGCAATCGGCGCTCCCCAATATGTCGTGCAGCCAGCGGCCAATGCTCTGAGGGACACAACCCTGCTGATATGAGCGTCTTGATGGCTCGCTTCGTAGCTCCCACCTCCGACTCCACCCTGCCATTGCTTTTGTAGGAGGATCCTGATGTGAGGGTTGTGATGATCCCTCGATCCAGTGTCCAACGTCTGACAGGGGCAGCCACCAGTTCTCGAGCTCTGTCGCAATGAAGTCGTAGCACAGGAAGTCCCAATGCTTGGAGCCTCGCATGAATGCGGGCAAGTGCAGGCATCACCTCGCCCACAGATCGTGAGCTCAAAAGCTCCACGAAGGTCAAGTTCTTGACCCTAACATTGGTGGCTTCATCAACCATTCTATGCCACACTGCATCAGCCCCACGCATTGCATGTTCTGGGGCCCCATCAGATGGAACTGGTAGCTGAGCTTCTTCATGAAGAGGATCTTCTGGTTCAGGGATATCTTGTGAATCCTCCGGTGCTGGTGGCAAATCACCTCCATCATCCATCAAAACGTCATCATCATCAGAAACTCCATCATTTTGATTGGCTGATCCCTCCCCTCCGTATAAATCCATCGACGGCAGAGGATTCGCAGCAAGACCATGACCAGCTAACCCCTCCCCTCCGTGTAAGTCCATCGACGGCAGAGAAGTGGCAGCAAGATCTTCCCCTCCGTATAAGTCCATCGACGGCAGAGGATGATCTTGGTCTTCTTTTGGAGCACCTGGTGGATTGACAAGGGGACGCCCATCTCCAGTCACCGGAAACGTATAACATGCCACCATCAGGTACTTGCATCGCTGATGCTCTTGGTCCTGGCCTGCTGTCATTCTTCCAGAAAGATCCACCGACAGCGTGTAGGCCTCAGGATGAGTCACCTTTCGGTGAGGTCTCGACCTTGCTTGAGCTCGAATGCAATGTGCACAGTCACGTCGAGCTGGCAAGTGATCGTTCAAGAAATGGTTCTTCCAAGCTTCCAATGCCACCTGAGTCAAAGGTCGAAGACTGGGCTGCTTGGGAGACTCTGGATCTTTCTCGATCTTTTGGATGTAGTTGTTGATCGCAGTTGCAATTGCCAACTTCAAACCAGGAGCCCAGCTCGCCCAAGTTTTTGACACTTGACATCTCTGCTCCATGGACAGTTGTTTGAACTCCTGAGCAGCACGTTGAGCGTCAACTGGATCACCTCTAAGTTCTCGTAGTTGACAAAGTTCTTCCATCGTAGTTGCCAAGGTGGTGGGCTTCTTTTTGACATGCCCCATTGGATGTTGATCACAATGAACCATCCAAACCTTGTAGTGGTCTTGGAAGTCTCGCCATTCCTTTGTGCGAAATGCTGACATGTACTTGTGCTCCTCCACGTCCTCAGCTTTTCGATACCTTGCAGGATCTTCGGGTTGTTCAACCACAAGTTGAGTTTGAGGACTTTCTGGATGACGAACATCTTCAGCTAGCACGTACAAAGCCAACATTCGAAACCAAAGGATCACATCTCCCTCCACCAACTCCGCATCAGAAGCTGACAGATCCGGAAGTCCATAAGGATACTGATCAGTTCTGAGGATGCCCGGACCACCATCATTTTGATACCGTAGCGCCGAGACAGTTCGGCATGGGGGACCAGCCAAGATCGCCTTCACCCTTCCAGAGGCACATAGCGACAGGAGATAGCCAAAAACATTGCGATCATGCAAGTTGGCCGGAGTCTGTCCACATGTGTCAATGCACAAGACCTCCGTAGTTGCCGTAGAGCACTGATTGTCCCAATACTTCTTGTCAGCACCTGAAAAGAGATGCAAGATGATGTTCTTGGCCTTGTCCAACTTTCTGCGCTTGTGTCTGTTCCAGGGCAACTTGGCTCCAAAGCCTTCAGTCTGCACCACGTCAAGGTGTGGGATCAGCTTCATCATGATGTGATCCGGAAGATCTGGAAATTCTTGGCGCATCTTCAAAGTCATCGCAACGTCCAAAGAAAGTGTGGACTTGTCAACCATGCTGTCATCAGCCATCATCGTTTTGACCACCGCCAACTTCCTTTGTTGATACACCTGATAGAACTCCAGCCAATTGAGGATCTTGTCACCCTCGTTTCTTTCCAACATAGGACATCCATTCCTCAGAGTGACGGGTACTTGTCGTCCTTCATCATCTTGAAGCCGGCACTGGCCATCACGCCATTCCAGTGCAAAATCCAAATCACTGAGGCCACTCATCGGAAGGATCCGTGCCGTAGATTCCAAAGGATGACCAAGAAGAATCTTCGTACCTCTTTTCAAACGGAAGGCTTCCGTTGATCCATTGGCCAGTTGAACCACCGTGCGCTCTGCTTTGCGCCATTCATCATCGTCATGAGCAGGACGAAGGCCATGAGTCGCTCCAGAGTCGATCAAAACCATGTTGTCCTCAACCTGCTCTAGGTCACTGATCTGCATGACCTTCAGTCTTGGATTGGCTGGGTTCACACGCAAGGTCTTGAGGAGCTGGGTGGCTTCATGAAGGAGCTCGTTGGTCTTGTTGTCCTTGGACACCGTCGTTTCTCCTCCACTCCCCCCACTACCTTTGCCATCATCAGCCATTGCAGTGGATGTAGAAGTGGTCAACTCAGGCGCAGGTCCAGCTCCTTTTCCATCACCTGCTCCAATTTCCTCGCTGACAGCATTGATCACCTTTGCGGCTGCAGCACCAGCTTTTCCACCCAAGGTTGAAGAAGATGTAGAGGCTGTGGTTCCATCACCTCCTCGGCCATGGTCATTTCCTCCCCCTGAGCCGCTCGGCTCATTGGTCTTCTTGCCAATCGCCTTGAGCTTGCATTCATTTTTTCGATGTTCTTTGCTGCCGCAGATGAAACACCTGGTGGCCTTGTCAGCCTCACTAATCCAGGTATGCTGCCATTTGCATGTTTTGCCAGCTTTGCAGCCCGTGTCAGATTGAAAAAATCTACATGGCTTGTCGACCGACGGACTCATCTTGGATTTCTGGTCGCCCGTGGTCGTTTTTCCAGGGGATTTCAAGTCACCCTCCAGCTGCTTGATCTTGAGCGGCACCGTGGTCGTAGAAGTGCTCGAGAGCAAGGAGAGAGTCTCAGCTTCTGCCAACAAACACTGGCTGAAGGCCCACAAATTCGGATGTGTCGGCTGCTGGTCAAGTTGAAGTTGCATCCGACTCTGACTGAGACGGAAAGCTGCCTGAGGATCATACTGACCCAATTGCTGCTGAGGACCGTCGAGAGCTTTCAGAAGTAGTATCCCATCCGGCAGCACCGCTTCAACCTCCTGAGCTCTTCCGAAGTGGCGTCTCCAGTTGCGCAAGTTTGCAGCCAAATCCTGCACATTGGACGACTTCGACATTGTCGTCAACTGCTGAAGCAAGATCTGCTTCTCTCCTGCTCCTCCCGGCTGAAAACGCACTAACAGCCTGAAGAGTATCGCTGTGGTAGACAGCGCTCTTTCTGTGACCAGCGCCTGCTGCTCTGTCTCAGGGATGGCTTTCAAGAGCATTTGAATGCCCCGTTGCTCCGTCCTCTGGAACTGGTGATCTCGTATGGCATCAGGCAAAACTGGCTGGATTCTGATGCGCTGCAACGGAGTGCTGTCCTTCCAATGGGCATAGTAGCACTGCGCTTCCCTCAGCGTGTTTTCCCACCACCAGCCCGCCACACTGGATATGTCCTTCATGGACGGTGCAATGAGACGCAGCCAATCCCCAAACTGCAGAGGACTTGAGTTGGGTGGCAACTCCGGCAACTCACCTTTCGTGTTCATGGTGGTGCCTGAATTTTCAGGCCAGGGCGCAAAAGGTCTGCCCGGCCGTCCATCTCCACATCCACCTCCCCCCACACCATGACCAGGAAGGTGGCAATAATCTTGAGGACCGTTGTGATGTAGTCCCATGCAAGCGCCATTTGCTGGTGCCCGATCGCGTCCGTGATGTACACCATGCCCATCGAAAGCCCGATCTTGTTCATATAGATCACCGTGCAAATGACAGGCCCGAGCTTGTTCGCGAGGATCACCAAGCAACTGCTGAGCCCGAGCTTGTTCACGAGGATCTCCAAATGCCTGCTGAGCCCGAGCTTGTCCGCGATGATCACCAAACGCATGCTGAGCCCGAGCTTGGTCGTGATGATCACCAAACGCATGCTGAGCCCGAGCTTGTTCACGGTGAGTACCATGCAAACTTGAGGCCCGAACTGGTCCATAAAGTTATCCATGCGATTGCGATGCCCGATCACGCCCTTGAAAGCCGGCAGCAGTCTGCCCAGCCCGATCACGTGGAGCATGAACACCACATCCACCATGCTGAGCCCGAGCGTCAGGATCGCTTCCAAGTCCAATTGCAACAGAACCCATGCCAGGCAAACAAGATTGCAGCTTCCCCTCAAAACCAGTATTCCAATACCCAGATTGTTGGAGGACCGGTGGGATAGATACCCTATCCAGTGCAGACTTCAAAGAACGGAGTTCCCTTTCCATCCAAATCTGTTTGGCTTCACTGGCTGATAGCGGCCCATCCGGTTCCCCTTGAGGTTTCCAAGCTACATCACCATGTTTCATTTTGGGTTTTGATTCACAAGTATCGTAGATGTCCAACATGTCGTTGAAACCACTGACAAAACTACTTTGTTGAGGGTCCCCAACCACATCGCCACTTGGAAACGGTGGCACAGGAGGCAACGGCACATCTTCCTGCCCCTGCGGTGGTGGTCCTTCTGGCACCTTCGTCCCGTTGGGGGTGAACCTCAACTGATCCTTCTTGTTGTTGAACCTCTCAGGACTCACCGCTGCTTCACGCACTCGTGCTCGGGGTGTCCGGCTACCTTGTCTGCCCTGACGTCCAAACTGCTGAGACACATCTGAAGACCCAACAGCACCTACATCAGACCAAGGGGACGATTCCACACCCGAAGTCTTTTCCAGTTTGTCCCTGAGAGTGGCTAATTCGTCGATCAGCCTCGAATTCTGTTCACGGAGATAGCTAACTAGCTCCCCCTCAAGTGCCCGTTGGAGCTGATCTACACCTTCTTTTTCACCAGAACTCTTCTTGGGGTTTTTTACTGGACCCATTGTTTTCTCCCCACTTTCTTCAGGAAGACGCCCCTCAGTCCTCATTGCGCTAAGCCCCTCTGAAGGTTGCAGCAAAGGCCCCAGCATCCCAGCTGAAGAACTCCCGCGGCCCTTTCCAGTCGGTCCAGCTTGCGCATGACTCTGAGCGCTCCCAGGCAGGTTTTGAAGTGGATCCATCCCCTCATAGTCACTAGGTAATCCCAAAGGTCGAGCTGCTGCCAACTTACATTCTTCTTGGGTCTTTTCAGAGTAAAATGGGTTGACAGCAGCCGTAGGTAGATCAGTTCCCCTTGATGGCACCGAATGGGAACGCATGGCTAAACGCGTGGGTTTGGGCTCATAACCCTTCACCCGAAAATCACAGGGCACACCTGTTTCTCGATCAAAATGCCTCAGAAATGTATTTGGTTAATGGAACCCTTTCGGACCTGTAATTACTGTAATTAATTATGATATATTATTATTTATTGTAATTTCTTTCCCTTAAAACCGATCCAATGATGAAACATTGAATGGTTTTCCCCAAAACAATCCGCCAGTGGAGATCTACAGATTCTTCCCAGATTTTCTGCGTCCAGTTCCAAGGATTCCAAAGAAGAGATGCTCCCCGTGTGCCAAAAGTTCGTGGATGCCTTCCTTCAAGCGTCGAGCTCCGGGGTGCAGAACATGGTCCCCGGCAATGAACAGCTTCTCCAGAAGACATGTCACTGGGTGTTTGTTTCACAAAATGGGTTTGTCTGAAAATACCGTACCCCAAAGAAATTAATGGCTACTCGATGCTAGTCATCATTTTTGGCCATTAAAATGGTTTGTAGACAGGTATCACCCATTTCAATCCATTTCAGAGAAACCCTTAAATACTTTGATTTAGAAACACATTTTGAGATTAACAGGCAAGGATGAAATGGACGCACTTCTCGACACCGCCATCAAAACTCACGACGGGGAGCTGGCTGAGCGGGTCGTGAAGTACGTGGGCAACGTCAATGCCAAATCAGGGGGTGTGTATGTCTTGCATTGGGCGGCTGAGACCGGGGATCTCAAGATTGTAAAGCTGCTGCTGGATGGAGGAGATTTTTGGGTTGCCCCAGGTTTTGATGTGGGTGAACAGGAAAAACGAGTTTAAACCTAAGTCTAAATGTTTTTAAAAGCAGGGGAGTAGCCAAGTTTGCCAAACCCATGGAGTAAAGCTGGCAGGAGCCAAGCTGGAGCCCAAGACTCATTATGACGACACTCCATTGCATTGGGCGGCGGGAAAGGGCCATCTCGAAATAGTGGAAGAGTTGGTGAAACGAGGACTGGTGGTTGGATGATGTGTTGATATGTTTTGCATGACTGCGAAGCGTTTTTTAATACGTTTTTGTTGCTTCAGCCTTTAAACCATGTTGGTTCACGTTTATTGGATCATCCAATGCAATTTTGCTATATTTCAATTTCAGTCAATTCTTCTCAAGGTTTAAGGATGAGAAACCCTTTAAAACAAGATCATTTTCTTTGGATAAATTGTTGCGACCTCATTGCCACTGGTAGGATGCTTGGTCTTTGGAAAATTATCGTTTTCAAAATCAGGCCCAAAATGCCCTTTTTCTTTTCAGTTTTTTTTGGGGGTGGTTCGACCAGAGGAGCAAAGGTTAACCGGAAGAACGGGGACGGCATGACCCCTCTTCACCTGGCAGCTCAGAGAGATCGGGTCAACGTGGTGAAGTACTTGCTGGCCAATGGGGCTGACGTCAACGTGGCTCGGAGAAGCTTACCAGTCGCCATGTAAGGAGAACGTATGTTGATGTAAAACCCCCAAAAGTGGGATATGAAGCCTATAATTTGGATTCATTTGGTTGATGGTGAAGATTGAATGAGTTATCTTATGTTCATGTATTTTCCATTATTTTCCATCCAACAAATAGGATGACTCCCCAGCAATTTGCATCGTGGCGCATTGGCTCACCAGGTGAAGACAGGGATGTTTTCCGGTAAGAAGGCCTATGATGTGGCTGCCACGGACGAGATCAAAGAACTCGTGAAACCCAAAAAATAACGGAAGTGCTGGCGACCTCTGCGCTGAAAAGGCTGAAAAGATTGCGATTGAATGTTGGGTCGGATTTGTTTGAAATTTGGAATTTCCAGATTCTCAGCTAGCCCAAACAGATGCTTGTTTCCTACTTACCTGACTTTTTTAGAGTTCAGTTCAGCCTTTTTTTGGGCAAATTTTGATAAATTTTGGACATACCCTTGCGTGTCATCTGCTGCCCGAGGTTGCCACGGCAGTTGTGACTGAAACTCAGGGGTCGTACAAGGGTAGGACCGGGTAGGGCGAAGAAAAAGTTGACACACCCAAATTATACCCATCCTTATACCCATCAATATGTACAGTATCACTATTTGTCACTATGTTCTGTTTGTTGTATGTATGATCAATTTTCTAGAACCTATATTTTAGGTGGTGCTATGGCCTGTATAAATGACATGTCCTGTTGGATGGGGGATAGGACCTTGAGACTATTCATCACATCCTGGAAAGTATTTATAACATCCTGGAAAGTGTATGTACAAAATCATGAGTTTTTGTGTTTGTTTTCCTGGCTTATGGAGGCCATGGCAGCAATTCTCGGATCATAGTCAGCACTTGAACCTTACAATTCTTGTCACCACTATTCTTATACACATATGGAGGTTTCCTAAAATGGGGGTACCCCTAAATCATCCCTTTTAATAGGATTTTGGCTTAAAAACCATCCATTTGGGGGTACCCCCATTTATGGAAACATCAATATTACTAATTACTATAAATATTGGGCATGGGGGTCGCCTTTTGCACTTGGATTTGGGCTCGCCTGTTGTATATTCCAGTGGAGGCCCAGTACCGGGTACCGATTTTAACCTTCAATCTTATTGTCAATATGGTTCTCAATACTATTATTACTATATCAATATCATTAATTATCAATCTTATTATATATATATATAAATAATAAATATATTACATTTTGAAAATGATCCTTCTGGCTATATAGTCATTTGGTTATAGAAGCGATGTAATGATTCAATGATATTCAATGGCTGTATTCACTGGATGATCAGCCTGCATGAGGCAAGACCATTGGAAGCCGCAAATTCTTTCAGCAAAGCTGCATTTTCAGGACAGAAAGTGCGATGGGCACTGGATGGGTTTTTTTCCGCACCCCCTCAAATGGCCATTTAAAGAGGGATAAGGATTGTTAACCAATGGAATACCCGGAATACCCTATTTTCAGCGTTTAGCGTTTGCTATCAGGGGATTCAAAACGGCAATTGGAAGCCCTGGTTTGAGATCACTTGACCCTTCAAATGGTCAGTTGACAACCCCAAAACTGCTGACAACTGCTAGGAGTCTCCTACCAGGTAGGATATGATAAGATCTTCTAATTGTCTCCAACGTTCGTTCACTTGACAATCACTTCACCGTTTTTGTCACCTTGAGGTTTTTCGTACTCCAAGTATTTCTAAATCAAGTGGTTGAGGCTTTAAAATGCAGATGCCACCATCGTTTGCGGAATGAGATCTACCTGAATGTTACGACGACGTGTGAATTACATCTCTTCATCTTGGCTTGATGAAATATAGCTCACTTTTGTTGATCTCCAAAAGGTCCTGGTTGATCTCCAAAAATTCTGAGGGCTTCTGCAGAAACTGCTAGGATGTTGCACCCAAAGAGGCCCCTGGGAACGGGCCGCCCCAAAGGGGAACCGCCAGGCCAACGGGGGCCACCTACCAGGTGAAAATATGGCCATCACTTGGAATTTTGGATGGTAGATGAACTGTCATGCCCCAAAATATATGGAAAATCCATCATGTACTGTATATAATAATTTATATATATATGTGTGTTTTCAGCCATCCTCTTAAAATCGGGTAATAATACATCTCCCAAATTACATGGAATCAAATGAATTCTATTGGTGTGTGCTCGTTTCTTTTTACGATTGAGCGGATGTTGCTGGGCCACATGCCACTGCTTGGCTCCAAAAAGGATGAACCGTAAAAAATTTATCATCCCCATGACGTCTCTGGAGAATTGATAGAAACTTGGGCAGTTCCAGTTGTTAAGTGGTAAATCAAGTGGTTACATAGCTATATTATGCTATATTTATACAATGTGAGGCCCCCAAGATAGCTAAGTTGGTTTATAACTCCAAAAACTATGGTTTATGGTACTTATAACTATAGTTACTGGGGCTTATAAACCAACTTATAAATGGGGGGCCTCACATTGTAGGGGTTTTATAGGGATTTGCTATATCCCACTTATGGGGAAAATTTGAGGGTGACCATTGTATGTCAAATGTTCAAAGATGGGATGATGCAATGGATTTAGGATTGGCTCCACCGTTGATGGCATCACGATGTTGAATTGATAATTGGTACATGTTTTTTCTATGGATAAGTGGTTTTTTCAAAAAGTTTTCTGAAGAATCAATCCCTCTCAGCCCACCAACTAAATTATGGAAACATTCCTTGTGGTTTCCCACACGACATGGCCATTTCTGCCACCTTCCCGCGTCTTCTCAGATGCAACTGATGGGAGACGTTCGACTGCACTTTGAGGCTGGGGGAATTCCCATTGTAAAAACCCATACGGTGGATGTGACGGGAATTTCCAGATGGGACTAATCTGAATGGTGGTTTCAAACAGGTTTTTTACTAATGTTCTATTAAAATATAATGGGAATTTTCCATAATACAATGGGTTTCAATGATTTTTTCCATATAATGGTGGGTTTCCCATGGGTAAATGAGTGATATAAATAGACTGGTTGGTGGTTTCAAAGATGACTTTTATATATGAGATAAAATCCTTCTCATTTACTAATATTGTTTTTAGAGGGGTAGGTCAACCACCAATCAGGGACTATAAAATGGTGGTGTTTCATATCACCTTAATATGAGGGGGATGGGGATGATGTTCAACCATGTTCATCCAAGAGGTTGCCACTCGGCAGTGTTTTCTTGATGTTCAACGTGGCGAGAAACGATGTTCCGAGACTAGATGGGCTATTTGGAAAAAAATGTGCAACAGTTGCACTTGGACTCAAACTGGTAGGGCTGGTAGGGCCCAAACATCACGAAAAGAAATTGGCCAAAGATGATCAAAGATTGTGAGACACAGCTGTCTCTGTGCTGACCTCTGATGTCGGCCACATGGCTTTCTGGAAAACCCCAGCCAAGTTGGAAAGATGACCAGCTGGAGTCCCTTGCGTGTGTCTGGAATCGGGGTATGCCTGAATATGCCCCAAAATCACAACTTATATAAATCAAGAAATGATCTACAATAAGTTGTAAGTGGTAATATATCTAGAAGATATAGACAAATAGATAATATTATATAATTAAATATAAACCATCAAAATTGTGGGGTACCCCTCTTCCAAGACAAAGCCACTTGTGGTTGTGAAGGCCAAGCCTGCAGCAATGCCCACTGCTGTGCTGCTTCGCTGGGGCGGCCCTGAACTTAGTGGAAGAGGCGCCTCTGGAGTGGCCAATCCCGATCTTTGGGTAGTCAAACATGGTTAGCCGGGAAAAGAACATTAGCAAAACCATCTATAAGGCAGTGGGAAATCCACTACAACGGGAAATGTTCGGAAATGTTCGATCATGGGAGAGTCATCTATGAATGGAGGTTTCTAGCTGGCAAAATGAGGGATTTGTCCCTTGCCAGGTTTGATTCCCGGTAGATCGTTGTTGGCTTCAGGCAATTTCTGACCATTTTGGCAACCGAAAGTGCCAACCGATTTTGCCTCCGAACCAAGACACATTTTGTTGATTTTGTTTGGGGATTTTCCCCAGGTTTGCATGGTTTGGACCTATCAACATGTGGAGTTACCGCAGATGGCAAGCTGCCAGCTGCTTGGTGCATCAACTTTTAAGCTTTGACAAGGTCCCTATGTTTCAGGGGGCTATATACACCTGATCAACGATCTGAGGTGATGGTTCAAGACGCAGAATGATCAGTAATGGCTATAGCATTAATAACATTCCCATTTATTGGATACATTTGGATACGTTTGGATTGGATTCTCGGACACCCTGGTGTTTACAAGTCTACTGGTCAAATTCTTCGAGTTTTTCCCGAGAGCGCCTGCGAAGGGTTCTTCGTAAAAAAGCAGCCGTTATACTAGATCTTCACTCCTTCACATCTGCTGATCTAGATCTTCACACCCTCACACCTGCAGATCTAGATCTTCACACCTTCACATCTGCAGATCTAGATCTTCACACCTTCACACCTGCAGATCTAGATCTTCACACCCTCACATCTGCAGATCTAGATCTTCACACCCTCACACCTGCAGATCTAGATCTTCACACCCTCACACCTGCAGATCTAGATCTTCACACCCTCACATCTGCAGATCTACATCTTCACACCCTCACATCTGCCGATCTAGATCTTCACACCTTCACATCTGCAGATCTAGATCTTCACACCCTCACATCTGCAGATCTACATCTTCACACCCTCACATCTGCCGATCTAGATCTTCACACCTTCACATCTGCAGATCTAGATCTTCACACCCTCATATCTGCAGATCTAGATCTTCACACCCTCACATCTGCAGATCTAGATCTTCACACCCTCACACCTGCAGATCTAGATCTTCACCCTCACACCTGCAGATCTAGATCTTCACACCCTCACATCTGCAGATCTACATCTTCACACCCTCACATCTGCCGATCTACATCTTCACACCTTCACATCTGCAGATCTCCTCTCGCTCTTCTTCTATTTCTCTCTTTAGGCGGGGGCGGTGCCGCCGGAGCGCCACGAAACGCAACCCTTTCGCACGAAATGGACGTTGGACGCCAAAAACTGAGGTAAAATTGCGATTTTACTTTGTCCATCGCAACCCTTTCGCACGAAATGGACGTTGGACGTTAAAAACTGAGGAAAAATTGCGACTTTGAAGCGTCGCGCGCAACCCTTACGCACGAAATGGACGTTGGACGTCAAAAACTGAGGAAAAATTGCGACTTTGAGTTGTCAATCGCAACCCTTACGCACGAAATGGACGTTGGACGTCAAAAACTGAGGAAAAATTGCGACTTTGAGTTGTCAATCGCAACCCTTTCGCACGAAATGGACGTTGGACGTCAAAAACTGAGGAAAAATTGCGACTTTGCCTTGTCAATCGCAACCCTTACGCACGAAATGGACGTTGGACGTCAAAAACTGAGGGAAAATTGCGACTTTGAGTTGTCAATCGCAACCCTTACGCACGAAATGGACGTTGGACGTTAAAAACTGAGGAAAAATTGCGACTTTGAAGTGTCCCGCGCAACCCTTACGCACGAAATGGACGTTGGCCGTCAAAAACTGAGGAAAAATTGCGACTTTGAGTTGTCAATCGCAACCCTTACGCACGAAATGGACGTTGTGTGTAAAAGCGTCTGTGTGTAAAAGTGCAAAAGCGTTTGTGTGTAAAAAGTTCTGTGTGTAAAAGCTTCTGTGTGTAAAAGCTTCTGTGTGTAAAAGCGCCTGTGTGTAAAAGCTTCTGTGTGTAAAAGCCTCTGTGTGTGAAAGTGTTGTGTGTAAAAAGCTTCTGTGTGTAAAAGCGTCTGTGTGTAAA